GCAGTTTAAAAAAATCCTAGTTATCACTTTCAAAGAATAAAAAATCCCCACATAAAAACTAAAGCACAGCAAGAATTCAAATTTAAGAGATGAGAACTATCAAAAAAAAATTTAGACTGGCTAAAACAAAGACCCAACTCCCCAAGTTCAGACATTATAGTATATCCCCATCATGTTCACCCTAGCACTCAAACCAATTCTAGTAATCCTTATCGCTATCAAAAAACAGAGTAAATAAACTCCCCAGTGAACAACTAAAGCAAAGCAAGAATTCACATTTGAGTGGTGAGAACAATTAAACAAACCTTATATTGGCTGAAACAAACACCAACTCCCCAAGTTTAAGACATTATAATATCTCCATCCTCATTCATCCTGGCACTCACACCGATATCACCATCGTCGCCACCCACATTGATCCCATCCTCCACTGGCCAGCTCGGCCAGCTCGACACGGTCTCCACACATATCGAACGCTCCACACCCGGCTCAGCTTCTCCAACCTGTGTCGGGGACAACAGAGACCCTCCATAATACTCCCCCTCAATGAGGAAACACAACCCTATGCCCTCCTAGCAATATGCCTCAAAGTACTCTCAAACCCAAAAATCCTCATCCTCCATCAATAACTCCCTAAACCTCACCGCAGCGAACCGCGATCTCCGCCTATCCTTGGACTCATCGTTCTCCGTCGAAGCTGGAAACCGGCACGGACGGGACAACGAATTGTGCTGCGCGAGCCACGGAAGGATGCAATCCGAATGGTCAATATGCTTACAAGGCAACTGCTTGGCTTCGACATCGATCACGAATTGATCTTTACACACAGGCGCAGAGATTGATCGGATCGAGATCGAGAAACGCGGCAGTGATTTTGATCGTAGGGATTGATTCGACGGCGGATTTTGAGGCCGGAGAGTGGTAGCGAGTGGCGGGCGGTGGTTGTGGTGGTGGGGAGGGGTTGTCGGATTCGGAATTGGTGAGGTGTTGGATTAGCGGTGGAGGTAAGGCTGTCGAGGAGGTAGTTTGTCGCGGGGGCGGTGTGATTGGTGGTGGTGGTGGTGGGAGGGATTGGTGAGGAGAGAGATTGGGGAAGGGGGGTCGAGGAAGGAGGAGAGAGAGGGTTAGGGTTAGGGTTAGGTTAGGGTTAGGGTTAGGGTTGAAGAGATGAGGGAGTCCATTTCTTCAAGGAAGTCACTGTGGCAGTGAGGGCAGAGGAGTGAGGAGGAGGCGGTGGCGGTGGCGGGGAGGAGGAGGAGGAGGAAATAAGAGAGACGCTCATGTCACACTCGTGGCACCAGTATGTCTGCCTCTCCCGAGCGGCGGCGGCGGTCGTGTGGTGGAAGACATACTTGAGGTCGCCACTTAGTTTTGCTTTTGGGATAAGGAATTTGGGTTTGTTGGAAAGGAGAGAGAGAGAGGAGGAGAGGAGAGAGAGAGAGTATTATTTTGTTGGGTTGGTTGATCAGTTGGCTTCTTGTGGTTGGTTAGGACGAGTCAGGTGAAACAAAGCCGCGCGATAGGGAGTGTGATAGTGTCGTGTTAAAAAGTGGGTTTTAGAGCATTCAATGGGATAGTTAAAAAATATTGTTCGTATTATATCCATTAATTAATATATTAATTATTATATTAATATAAATTATGATATATTATTGGTCCTATTCATTATATAAATTATAAATATTAAAAAATTTCTTAAATTATGTAATATCATCAATTGATACATTAATTAGTGTAATAATTGGTGCATATAACATTACAGCAATGTTAAGTATCATAAAAAAAATTCCATAATCATGAAAGTTTGTGACCCTTGGATTAAACTATAGAATAAAACACCACACACTAATCAAGGTAATCCAAGAATCATAATCTTTCATGATCGTTTTCATGAAAAAATTTTCATGATTCTTAACTTTTCTCTCTAACATTATTCTAACAAATATGAGAAAGTTAGGGATCATAAAAAAAATTTCATGAAAATGATCATGAAATATTTATGATTCTTAAATTACCTTGATTAGTGTGTGGTGCTTTATTCTAAGTGTAATCCAAGGGTCACAAAGCTTTCATGATTTTTTTCATGAAAAAGTTTTTCATGATACCTAATATTGCTAAAAAAATATATTAAAACGTGTGTTATATGATAAAAAGTGATAAAAATGATACTCAAAAATATATATTAAGGTGTTTTAAGAATTTATTAATTTTAAGAATAAATGGTAGTGCAATAAATGTATTAAGGTGTATGTTAAGAATATATATATATATATATTAATAAATAAAAGGGTAAATTACACTAACCTCCCCTGAGTTTACCTTAATTATAAGACCTCCCATGTAGTTTCAAAAAGAAAACTAACCTCCCTTACTTTTGAAAATAATATACAGATTCTCCTTCTGGTTAAAAGAGCATGAACGACGTTAACTTGAGAGTCGAATTGACCATAATATCCTTGAACCATATTGTGAAAATGCAAGTTCCTAGATGAAAGGGTTTTGGTCATTTCTTTACCTTTCATAGCAATCTAGTGCTCGAGAAGTGATTATTCATCAAATGGGTTCGTTGTCGCGGAGATTGAAAAAGATGGAGGGGTTTGCGGCAACGATGATGGTGGTGGATGAGAGTAAGAATCCAAACTCGTGGCATTTGGTTGGAGAGTTTCTAGATCTAGATCTGCCGGGTGCGGAAGCAGAGCTTTTCTGGAGACATTTTCAAACGAATCTCTACTGGGTTTGGAAACTACATTCTCGACGAGTCGAGTCTCAGAGAGAAGGCCACTACAGCAGTGGCAGAAGAACAGAATGCATCAAGGAAAGAGTCAAATGTGATCGGATTTTAAGTGGGTTCATGATCACTTCCTCATTCTCTTCATCTTTTTACTGGGTTTCATCTTCAATTGAAGAAAATGGGAAGTCGACAGCAGCACGCGGCGATGGCGTATGGAAGAAGTGAGAGTTGGGGTTAGGTATTTGCAAGTCAATTAGAGCTTTCAAGCCTTCCTTTTCAAGAAAGAGAGAGATTTCCAACAAAACCACCACTCAAACCTCAATGCCATTCCTTCATTGTTGACTGTGAGAGGTTAATTAGCTCCATTCTACACACACTCTCCTCTCTCACCCTCTCTCTGCTCTCTCTTTCTTTCTCTCTCTGTGTTTTTGTATGTTTGAATTAGTTTTTGGGTACAATTTTTAAGGGTGTTGTTGGTTAAGTTCAAATTAATGTGAATTGTTTTGGTTCTTTGAAGTTCAATGTTGATGTAAAAAAGACACTTGAGATAGATGTCACGACCCAAACCCGCCCTATGGGTTTAGCATCGCAACCGCTAGTAATCTGTGATTACCGAAGGCTACTTAATAGTAATGACAGTAATACAGAGTAAAGGGGCTGGAGGAAGCCAAAACAGTAAATAGAAGATGTTCCAATGAGCTATAACAGTCTGAATGCAAAAAGACTTTTAATAAACATGCCACATTGATAACCAAAACAAATTGAGAGGGTAATTTATATGAAAATTGGGCCGAGCTAGGTAATGGGCCATTATGGGCCACATTGCAAAGGGCTGAGTAAAAAGGCCATAAAGTTACTCCGGCCCAAGAGAGGTGTAAAGTTACTCTGGTCCCAAAGAGCTTATAGTAAGTTTGGTCGTCACTCACAAAGTTATCCCGGTTTGGACCGGAGTATTGGTTATTCCGGTTTAGACATACCGTGGTTAGCATTAAGAAGAGTCAAGGTAAGGGCAGTGAATGGAAGAGCCGAGCTAATGTTATCTCAGTTTAGTCTGCGGTTTAGCATAGCCATGCTTACCTCGATCATGTTGAAGTCTGACCATGGTAGAACCATCTCACTTGGTTTATATAGTGAGGGGGGTGTTGAAGGATATGCATTATCTTTCAGGAGTATGAATCCTAGGAGGACTTTACATGGAGGAGCAAAAGTCGTACTAAAATTGTGCCACGCTGAACCTATAAAAGTTTATAACATCACCTATGGAGAGGTAACACACAACTTTGATTCACAAATACACAAGAGCTTTTTGTCTTTGTCTATTTCGCTGACTTAGGCATCGGAGAGGTATCCAGCACACACCCGCCGGCTAGCTCACGTTTGTGTTTTCAGGGAATAAGGCGATGTCGTACGGAGGAGCCAGACTTAATCAACAGGATTATACGAGAAGATTTATTTCTTTCCCGTACACTACACTAAACTGAAGAGGAACAACCCAAAAAAGAGCATAATTTCACACTTTTTCGCAAGCATGGAATGGGCTTGGAGCTTCTTCTTTTGGTCCTCAATTATTTTATCACCAACCCTCTTCCTCCTCCTCCTCCTCCTCCGCCACCGCCACCGCCTCCTCCTCACTCCTCTGCCCTCACTGCCACAGTGACTTCCTTGAAGAAATGGACTCCCCTCATCTCTTCAACCCTAACCCTAACCCTAATCCCTCTCTCTCCTCCTTCCTCGACCCCCGCTTCCCCAATCTCTCTCCTCACCAATCCCCTCCCACCACCACCACCACCAACACCATCACCACCGCCCCCGACGACAACTACCTCCTCGACAGCCCTTACCTCCACCGCCTAATCCAACACCTCACCAATTCCGAATCCGACAACCCCTCCCCCACCACCACAACCACCGCCGCCACTCGCTACCACTCTCCGGCCTCAAAATCCGCCGTCGAATCAATCCCTACGATCAAAATCACTGCCGCGTTTCTCGATCTCGATCCGATCAATCTCTGCGCCGTGTGTAAAGATCAATTCGTGATCGATGTCGAAGCCAAGCAGTTGCCTTGTAAGCATATGTACCATTCGGATTGCATCCTTCCGTGGCTCGCGCAGCACAATTCGTGTCCCGTGTGCCGGTTTCAGCTTCCGACGGAGAACGATGAGTCCAAGGATAGGCGGAGATCGCGGTTCGCTGCGGTGAGGTTTAGGGAGTTTATGATGGAGGATGAGGATTTGTTTGGGTTTGAGAGTACTTTGAGGCATATTGCTAGGAGGCATAGGGTTGTGTTTCCTCATTGGAGGGGGAGTATTATGGAGGAGTCTCTGTTGTCCCCGACACAGGTTGGAGAAGCTGAGCCGGGTGTGGAGCGTTCGAATAGTGTGGAGACCGTGTCGAGCTGGCCGAGCTGGCCAGTGGAAGGAGGGATCAATGTGGGTGGCGACGATGGTGATATCGGTGTGAGTGCCAGGATGAATGAGGATGGAGATATTATAATGTCTTAAACTTGGGGAGTTGGTGTTTGTTTCAGCCAATATAAGGTTTGTTTAATTGTTCTCACCACTCAAATGTGAATTCTTGCTTTGCTTTAGTTGTTCACTGGGGAAGTTTATTTACTCTGTTTTTTGATAGCGATAAGGATTACTAGAATTGGTTTGAGTGCTAGGGTGAACAATGATGGGGATATACTATAATGTCTTGAACTTGGGGAGTTGGGTCTTTGTTTTAGCCAGTCTAAATTTTTTTTTGATAGTTCTCATCTCTTAAATTTGAATTCTTGCTGTGCTTTAGTTTTTATGTGGGGATTTTTTATTCTTTGAAAGTGATAACTAGGATTTTTTTAAACTGCCATACGGTAACTTATCTAGCACTATCATGGTATTAGAGAGCTATAGAGAATTAGATTATTTTCAGAGACTCAGTCTTATGGGATAGAAAATGTCAACATTGCGAGAGAGTTAGTAGACTTTTGCATCAGTTGTGATTGGTTTGCAGTTGTAGGCTGAGCTAAACTCGGCTTTAAGTTGACCTTTCCTGGTGTTGTCAGGAGAATTTTTGGTTGTTGAACGAGTCCTTTTGGCTCCTGAAATTGACAGGCAATATAAGAACTTACATGGCCAAACTTTACTTTTATGCCTCCAATAGTGTCTAAATTGCCAATGAGGCTGGCCTTTCTGAAATTCTATACCTTGGTCAGGTACTGATCATCTTGGTAGGGCCATTATTTTTTTTGAGTGCCACTATTGGTGTCGTATTATGGAGCCACTTTGAGCAATCTAGAGTCACTATTAGTGTGGTATTTCCCTTCCGTGATTTACTGGTTAGAAGGCTCATAAAGAAACACAAAAACAAAAACTTTTTATGAGTCGCAAAGAGAATTAGTTGAGTTTTAATTTGATTGAATGGGTAATAATATACATGGCAGAAAACCAGTGTGGTACTAGCCAAAGAACTATTTGAACTTTCACTTGATTGGATGGGTGATGATCTACATGGAATGAAAACAATGGTGCTTTGTTTGTTTAATCTAGTTCTGCGTGATGGGTATATTTGATCCATTTGAGAGAAACAATGTAAGCTGTGGGGAGCAATCATAGCAACCGGTTATGGAAGGAGATATGCTTTCATGAGTGCAATGTGTAAACAACGTTATAAAAAATTGGGAAGAGCATATGTAATGCAATCCATAAAATTACAATGCACTATTTTCTCTGCCGAAATATATTGGGCAAAGTGGAGTACATTGCTCAAGAAATGCAATTGTTTAAGCTTTCTTTATCTGCACTTTATGGACATATTGTGGTGGCAAAAACATGACTTTGGCTTAGATTATTAGTGGTGACTTAAGCAAGAGAGACAGGATTTTAGTGAACATGTGATTTGGATTGTACTAAATTGGAAAGAATCTCCCTCGTTGATTTTGGCTTTCATTTTTTAAGGCATTTCTCATCTTTATCCTTTTATCTAGGACTGTTTCTTCATTACTTATTAAATAAAAGAGAGAAACTTAAGGAGTGCTTCATTCTAAGGAAGAGGGCATTGTTGCTTACTACTTTCACTTACTCGTGCATTTTCTGCCCATGTCAAAATTGATGATTGTCTTGCAAAGAGATGACCCTCCATAACTCCATCCCAAGCTTCTGTCTTGTGCAAGACTCTTACTTGTGCAACCATTTGTTACATCATCACCAATCTTGTATCAATGTGCTGCACCCTTACTAGGCATTTTCAGTTTTTGATACCTCATGCTAGTTTCATTTACCTTTTCTCTGGGAGGGTGGGTGGTTGTAGAGGCAGGGAAACTCTGGTTCAATGATGTTTGGGTATTCTTTAGGCCATTTGGAAAGAGCAAAGAAAGAGTATTCAACTGAATAATTATAACTATAATTTTCTTTTGAAAAAGGCACATTGATTGTGCTTGTATGGCTTCATTGTAAATGACACAGTCCTATTTCTCCCTGGATGTTGTTCAGGATCAGAAAGAGTTGGATTTTATTTCTTAGTAAATTCAGAACTTCTTAGTTTTGGGATCTCCCTGCACGTAATGTTGGCTTGCTCAAACTAAATGTTGATAGTTGCTCTCTTGCAAATTATGGGAGATTTGGAAGTAGAGCCCTATGTAAACATCTCAAAGGCGTATTGTGTATGCTGTTTCAACGCACTAATGGGAGAAGTTGAATTGTCCATGGCAGAATTTCTTACCATTCGTTGGACTTGGAGATTATAAAGCTTATGGTCTTTAACATGTTGTGTCAGTGTTGTTGACCAAGTGGTTAAGAGAAATGTTGGTGCTTGGAAGCAAAGCTTTTGGTGTTGGGAGGCCTGTAGCCTGGCCCTTGATAGGGTGGAGTTTTTCTAATGAGTTCTTAGTTCAGGAAACACAGCACAGCAACATTTAGCCAAAAGGCATGCTAGGACTGTTGTTCCGTATCTGCTATTGTTCTTGTGATTCTCTTTTATTTATGGATTTATTACACTTTCTACTCCTAACTATTACCAAATTGTCAACTAAACTATTAATTGAGTCTACTTACTCCCTAAAGTATATAAATTAAAATCTATTTAGTCTCTAAACTATCGATTGAATCTATTAAGTCCCTAAAGTATTTAATTAAAATTTATTTAGTCTCTAAATTATCGATCCTATTTAGTCCCTGAAAAGATTACAAAAAAATATATATATATAAGCTCGTAAGTATTATAAATTAGTAAAAGATTCTATCAAGTTTATATTTTATTTCAGAAAAATCTTAAATTTCTATTTTGTCTTTAAAAAGTATTTTTTTTCGTTGTGCGTTTAAATTAGTATTAGAGTCTAGTTCTCAATCTTGCCAATAAAATTATATGAACTAGATAATTTGAATAATAACACTTCATTACGAATTATAATAGAACAAAATAATAAATTAATTAAGTTATAAAAAGAATTTAGCAAAAAATTTAAAAACAATTAGTAAGAAATTATAATGAAATCCCGTATATAATACTAGATAAAAGGCTTATATTTTAACTAGATAAGGTTTTTCACTAATTATAATATTTATAGGTTTATATTTTATTTTTGTAATCTTTTCAGGGACTAAATAGATTTGATTTAAATATTTTAGGGACTTGATAGATTCAATCGATAGTTTAAGAATTAAATAAATTTTAATTTATATACTTTAGGGACTAAGTAGAATCAACTGATATCAGATACTAAGTAGACAATTTGGTGATAGTGTTGTAAGATTTTCGGAATAATCTGTATATTCAACTTATTCGAATTCAAGAGATACATCAGTTTAAATAACAAGAGACTAAACCCTAAAATCTAACTATGGAAATACAACTATCTAACTATGGAAATACAACTCATTAGCTAACTATGGAAATACAACTAATTAGCCTAAAATATATACAATCATATATGTGTTTTAGCAGAAAACACAGAGAGTTTGTCAAGTAGAAACTGAAAGCGAGCAAAAGTGTGAGTCTTGGTAAAGAAATCAGCAAGTTGCAGGGCAAAAGGAACAAATGGAAGTGAGATAGAACCAGATTGCAGATGATGACGGACAAAGTGACAATCAATCTTAATGTGCTTTGTCCGCTCATGGAAGACAGTGTTATCGACGATCTGAATAGCACTACGGTTGTTACAGTAGAGAGAGGTGGGAGAGGATTGAGGGACATCCAAATCAGACAAGAGACAATGAAGGCAGATAATCTCAGCAGTGGCATGGGCCATAGCACGATACTCAGCTTCGGCAGTAGAACGAGCAATAACAGTCTGTTTCTTACTCTTCCAAGAAATCAAGGAATCACCAAGAAACATACAGAAACCAGAAGTGAACTTGCGATCATTGACATTACCAGCCCAATCAGAATCAACATAGGCCACCAGGTCCAAGGAAGAAGTTGACGAAAGCAGCAAGCCCTGAAAGATAGTACCGCGAAGATAACGGAGAATCCGAACCAAAGCGGCCCAATGCGTGGAGCGAGGAGCAGAAACAAACTGATTGACCACATGAACAATATAAGCAAGATCAGGCCGAGTGACAGTCAGATAAACTAAACAACCCACAAGCTCGCGATATAAAGTGGAATCAGCCAGAGGGACACCATCAGTAGAATTGAGCTTCACATTAAGCTCAATAGATGTATTAGAAACCTTAGTATCAGTAAGACCGGCACAGTGAATAACCTCATTAGCATACTTAGCCTGACATAGAAAATAGCCTTTTGGAGAAGAGGCAACTTCAATACCAAGAAAATACCGCAATGGATCCAGATCCTTCATTTCGAAGGTACGGAAGAGATGTTGCTTGACCTCAGAGATAGCAGAATAGTTAGAACCAGTGATGATCATATCCTCTACATAAAGTAGGAGAGCAACAAAACCAGCCGAGGTATATCTGAGAAACAAAGTAGAGTCGGAAGCAGAAGGATGAAACCCAAGCTCGGTAACGGCAATCTGAAAGCGATCATACCACGCACAAGGAGACTGCTTCAAACCATACAAAGCACGTCGAAGACGACAAACCTTCCCAGAAGAGTGGAGAAGACCAGGGGGAGGACGCATGTAGACCTCCTCAGTGAGATACCCGTGAAGAAAAGCATTCTTAACGTCCATTTGATAGAGAGGCCAATGTCGAACAGCAGCAACAGAAATCAAGGTACGGACAATAGTCATCTTGGCAACAGGGGCAAAGGTCTTCTCATAATCAATACCATACTCCTGTGAGAAACCCTTGGCAACCAAGCGAGTTTTGTAGCGCTTGAGAGAACCATCAGAATGAGTCTTGACTTTATAGACCCATTTGCAGCCAACCAGATTCTTGCCAGCAGGCAAAGGAACCAACTCCCAAGTGTTAGTCTTCTGCAAGGCAAACAACTCATCCTCCATAGCTTGAACCCAATTAGGATCCTGACAGGCCTCAATATAAGACTGTGGTTCTGAAAAAGAATGAATAACAGACAAAAAAGTACGATAGGAAGCAGAAAAACATGTATTAGACCAACCCAACCTGTTTGGAGGACGCTCACGAGTAGGATATCGGTGTGCAGCAGGATCAGAGTCGTCAGAAGCAGAAGGAACAACAACAGGAGTGGAGACAACTGGTGGTGGGGGAGCCTGACGACGAGAATAGACCAACAATGGAGGGGGAAGAAGAAGCTGAAGGAGGAGAAGGAGCCATAGGTGACGCAGACGGAGAATGAAGAATAGAGGGGATGTACTCATCAGACGGGACCTCAGAAGGAAAGGGATCAATGTGAACCAAATCCTCTTTGGAAACTGGAGCAGTGAGAGGGGGAAGCTGGAAGTAAGACAGACGTTCGAGAAAGGCAACATGACGGGAGACATAAAGGCGACGAGAGACAGGATCATAACAGCGATAGCCTTTCTGAGTAAGACTGTAACCCAAAAAGACACAAAGAACAGATCGAGCACTAAGTTTGGTCCTATCTTCGCGGGGAAGAAGGACAAAACAAGCAGACCCAAACGCACGAAGAAGGGAGTAGTTAGGAATTTGGGAGAACAAAGCCTCATTAGGAGATCGACTAGAAAGAAGGGGAGTAGGCATGCGGTTGAGAAGAAAAACAGCAGTAAGAACTGCCTCTCCCCAGAATGGAGCCGGAACTGAGGCAGAGAGCAAAAGAGGCCTAGCTGTCTCAAGGAGATGACGGTGTTTACGCTCGGCTCGACCATTTTGGGCAGGTGTATCTGTACAGGAAGTTTGATGAATGGTACCCAAATTGGCCAAATACTCACAAAACTCATTTTTAAAATATTCCCCACCCAAGTCAGATCGTAACACTTTAATAGTAGACCCAAACTGAGTAGTAATCATAGACTGAAAGGTACGATAGATCTGATAGAAATCGGATTTATGAGTCATAAGATAAACCCAAGTGTAACGGGTGCAATCATCAACAAATGACACATAGTATGCAGAACCCCCCTTAGTGAGAACAAGAGAAGGGCCCCAGATATAGAAGTACTGTTACGAAAAGGTAAGGCTGTCCTAAGAAGCATGGACACGGACACGCGACACGACACGAGTACGACACGGACACGCCGACACGTTAATTTTCAAAAAATGCAGGACACGACACGAGGAGGACACGCATGAAATACATAATTTTATATATTTATTATATGTTATATATATATGAATATATCATTCAAAGATAATAAAAAATGCAATATGATACTAATTCTTATAAATTTATATGGTTTTTATTTTATTATTGTATCTTAAGTTATTTTGTTTAAACTTATAATTAATTTTACGTATGTCTAATCATTAGATACGTGTATTTAAACGATTGACACGTGTGTCCTTCAAGTGTCCAAAGAGTGTTCAAGTCTTTAAACAATAGGACACGTTTTGAAGAGTGTCGGACACGTGTCATGAGAGTGTCCAAAGAGTGTCGGTGTCCGACACGTACCCGACACAGATATGTCACCTTCCTAGAAGTGTCCGTGCTTCTTAGAGGCTGTCATTTTGGCAAGTTTACATCCCCGACATTCGGTAAGTTGACTAGGAGAAACTTTACCCAATATACCTGACTGAGCTAAAGACCGTAAGCGGTCAGCAAACAAATGCCCTAATCTGGAATGCCACAAATAGAAAGGACTGGACAGAGAATCTAACTGAAAAGAAAAAAAAGGCAGTCGGAGAGGTAGTCATAGGCAAATGCAGGCTCTCCACCACATAGAGGTCTTTAACTCTACGGCCAGTCCGAATCTACTGTTTGGACATTCGATCCTGCACAAAACAAATAGAAGAAGAAAAGATAACATCAAAACCAGAGGCATCAAGTTGACTAATAGATAATAAACTGACAGATAACTGAGGAACATAGAAGACAGATGGAATAGAGACAGCAGACATAACAGATGGTAGAACAACCCCAACAGATATAACTGACATATCAGACCCATTAGCAGTATTAACAGTAATAGGAAAGGGAGGGAGAGTACAATTTTGAAGTAAAGAGAGATGAGGAGTCATATGATGAGAGACACCAGAGTCAAAAAGCCAGACAGACGAAGAGATACCTGAAGAAGACCCAAGCAAACCTGAATGAAGGAAGGAAACAACGGAGGCAGATGGAGATGGCTGGGAGGTAGACAATATATGCTGAAGCTGACTAATCTGAGCAGTCAAGGAAGCCAAGTCAGGAGCCGGAGTAGATCCATTATACTCAGTAGGAGGAGCCTGAAATTGGTTCTGAGATCGCTGAAAAGAGGAGGCTGGCAGACGTCCCTTCTCGGGACAGTGGTACTTCCAATGGCCCCGCTGATGGCAGTAGGCACACTCATTAAAAGCCAGAGACATCGTAATAACCAGAAAATTGAGGGGTTTCAGTGCAATCAAACAAAGTAGCCAAACTAAGGGTTCAAGTGTAATAATCAAAAGTTGAGGGTCAGACTATTATAATAACTAACAAGTGGGCCAAATAGGAAATCAGAATTTTTTATTTTTTTTAAGAACAAACAAATAAGAGAACTGAACCAAATAAGATCATTGAACCAAACACAGAGAGAGAAAGAACTAGAGTCAACGATGAACCACACGAAGCTGACAAGAGTTGCGATGAACTGAGATGAACAGAGAGAGTCGCGATTCGCGATGACCAGAGGTAGCTGACAAGTCGCGATGACGCCGACGAGAACGAGAGAGACGCAGCAGATAGGGTGCGACAGGGAGTCACGATCGAATCGAAACTGAGAGGCAGAGGGTTCTGGGTTGGGGATGAACCAGATGAAGCAAACCCACTATGGCTAGGGTTTCGAATCTGAAGGCTAGGGTTTGAAACCAAGCTCTAATACCATGTAAGATTTTCGGAATAATCTGTATATTCAGCTTATTCGAATTCAAGAGTTACATCAGTTTAAATAAGAAGAGACTAAACCCTAAAATCTAACTATGGATATACAACTCATTAGCTAACTATGGAAATACAACTAATTAGCTAAAATATATACAATCATATATGCACAATATTCACAAGTGTAGGGGTAGAAAGTGTAATAAACCCTTATTTATTTATTTTTAATTTTGCAACTTATGCTGCTATGGAAATTATTCATGTGTAGCCAATATTTTTAGCCTGTGTCTCTTTCTCTTTAGTAGAATTCGCTTTATCGTTGTTACATAGCTAAAGCGTGAGTGTCTGTATGTGCAGAGCCATGTGCGTGCTTTGTAAATGTGCACGCATGTGTGTGCATGGGCACATCGTGCACAGTTCTAATGCTTTCTATTGTTCAAGTGGTCTTAGAATTTTAGGTTAAAAAATAAATCAACAAAAATTTCACATAATTCAGCCAATTATCGAAGGATAAGATTGCCACAGAAAGAGCTGAGGGGATGGAAATGCCACCAATGTTGGGTATAATACTTTTCTTGAGGTGGTCTGTTGTGATCTGATAAAATACCCTTTTGGGCAAGAACATTCTTTCATCAAATTCTTGCAAATTATTTTGCTTTGGCCTAATATTGTTCTAGTCAATTAATCATTGTTTCTTGTTCATGATGACCATTGAGTTGCCCAAACAATTGCCAGCTGTGATCAAGTGTGTATAAAGTTGTAAAATTGATATCTGTTAGGATTATGGAAATGCATAGTATTTGCAAGCTAATAGCTAAAGCATGATGTAAGTAATCCAGGCCTCAGGTATAAATGAGATCAGTTAGGTATAAATGAGATTTTAGAGCTGCTGAATGTTCCTGGAAAACGAAAAAAAATTTAGACTAGATTTTAGTTTAATTGTCGTCTGCTTTTTGTGTAGTTTAAGTCACTGTGTTTAAATTTAAATAAGCACACTATTGTTTTCATATATGCAATTTACTTGAATAAAATGTCATACAATGAGGCTGAAAGCCTCATATGGAGCACACAATTATCCATCAAACTACAAAGTCATAGGAAAAGTTGAAAAGAAAAAAAAAAAGAATTTGTCTGATCTATGAGGAGTTGATGTGTTCGGTCTGTTATTCTTCGCATCTTGATTTTTTAATATGCTTTTCTGTTGGTACTGGATTTTCACTTCTTTGTCCCTTGGTTTATGCAATTGCAGGTATGTATAGTTACTGTAGGGTTATTGATTGTACTTCATCTCCATAAATCGTCGAATGAAGTGTACACCTGCTGTGGACGACACTACCCAATAATCTGATGTTGTATGTGATTTTTTGTGCAATATCTCTCTGCCTCCCTTTTCACCCCTCTTGAGCATCCAATATGAATGAGGTTGTTGGCTTGTAATGATTTTCTGTAAACTAATTGGCCTTTTTATTTTTGGTTAATATGGATAAAATCAAGCTGTTTCTTTGTTTTCGCTTTATTTTTAAGCCACCTGTAATAATGGCATGGCAATGCTTTTATCAGCTCTCATTCTTATGGCAAAAGTAAACCTTTTTAGCAGTTGGTTGTGAATTCATGGAAAAAGGAGATTGCTATTAACATCAAAGAAGTTTTTTGGATGGTCATAAATATTTATTAATCTAATTGGAAACAAGGGGAAGAAAAGGATCTTTTTTGGGCGTGACATAACTATATTGATGAAATTATCTTCAAGATTTGCATATTTTGATTCACTGATATTTGAGGTTAGGTTGTTATCTTTTTACACTACATTTGATTATTTGATTGATTATTTTTTGTCAATGCCCCTATTTTTGTTTTTTAATATTTAACAATCTTATTTATGAATCAAGCTTGTTGCTAAATTGATCTAATACTAGCATGAATATGCAGAATGAGGGATGGCAACGGGCAGGACCGGGGATTACACTCATTGTCCCTGATCCCTAAAAGTATAAAATTTATAGTCCTCACTCTCGTTCTCCGGTGGGGACCCATCACCCCTCCGCCCCCGCCCCCTAATAGGGATCGGGTTTCCCCGACCTTGAAAAATTCTTGACAAAGAAAAAAAAACAAATAGTACCATTAGTCTATTATAACATGGAACAATAGTTGTTCAAATAAAATATATAACATCAATATCACAACAATAAAACAACATTATTGTTTTTCCAAAGATCTGATATAATCACAACTTTCATTGTCTCTTTTAACTTGAATTCTTGTTAAATAACAAAAGGAAAAAAAAAAAAAAAATCAATACTAATAATAATATGTAAAAAATATTAACAATTAAAACAAAAAAGATGGCAATTAACACAAAAGTGCCATATGACTCATCCAAGTTGATCTCATCATCATCACATATAGTTACATAGCCCACCGATTCCAATGTTGAATTTTCTAAAAAGTAAAGAATATAAATTAAGTACTGAAATTATTCAATGGTAATATAAAATTGAAATAATAATATGCAAATTTACTTGAGTACCTTTCATCTCTGCAACCCACAACTAACTTTGTGCACACATTAATGCTTCTAATGTGTTTGGATGAAATCTATTACGATATGGACTCACCAACCTTCCACTAGTGCTAAATGATGACTCACAGGCAACGGTGGATACATGAATAGCTAAAATATCCCTAGCAATTGCCTGTAAGGTCAGATATATTGATCCATTGGCTTTCCACCAATTCAAAACATCAAAACCTGAAGTTCTTGGCAAAACATCATCTTCTAGATAATGATCCAACTCTGATCTTACATTCTTTATTTTTTTACTTTTCTTTCTACTAATAAACAAATCATACTCTGAAAAGGTCTTTGTAACAATTTCTAGATGGATAGAAGATTCACCAACAATATCGGTCTCCATACCAACTCGGTTCTGATACTCTTGTAACAAATCATAACAAATCTGACGAACCCTATCAATTTCCTCTTCAGCTTTGTCTCCATAAAGTTTTCAAAATAAAACTCCAACACACTCATCTTGTACCTAGAATCAAGTACAATAGCAAATCCAATAACACCATGTATCACTAACCAATATTTATCAAAAATTTTCACCATTTTTGATGCCATTTTTCTAACCACTTCAATTTCACAAGAGAGTTATTGAGACAATGTCATCCTAATCTCATATAAAGCTGAAAAACAAACATTGGCTGTGGGATACTTTAGTACCAGAAAATAACTCTATGATATATATAAAAAAAATATCTTAAACCTCCTACTCATCTCTCTAGCAAACTCACATTCTTCCTTACTTGGCATGGTCTTATATTGGGGCCTTTTATTTTTCAATCGAGAAAAGACATTCTTATACAATAAGGCAGTTTGAAGCATCAAGTATGTTGAATTTCACCTTATTGCACAATCAAGTCCTAATTTCTTAGTATGTGGATTACACAATTAATTGACTGTTTCTTCAAATTTTTCTTGTCTTTTAGGTATTGCTGTCCAATAAGCTACACTCTCCCGAATTTTCTCTATACCCACTCGTATGACATCCAGCCCATCTTTGACAATCAAATTCAAAAAATGCGTACAACAACGCATATGAAACAAAGTACCACCCAACAAAAGCGATGTATTACTCAACTTATCCATCAACATAGTAATCATGGCATCATTTGTGGAGCAATTATTAACAGTAACAGTAGAGATTTTTTTATCAATTTTCCAGTTCATCATACACTCAAGCAAAGTATCACAAAGAACTTTTATGCATGGACATGGAACATAAATAAACCTAAAATACAGTATTCATGAACAATTATTAATAACATGCAAATTGAATTGAATAAGATAGAACTTTTAAATGATTTGCAAATTTACAAATATATACCTCAAAATGCGACTTTGCAATGCCCATGAATCATTAATAAAGTGTGCTATGACAGCCATGAATCATTTCTTTTGATTACTAGCAGTCTACATATTAGTTGTGATTGCCACCCTACTTTTATTATTCTTCACCTAACTCAATGTCTTTACCCTCCCAACATCATAAATCTTTAAAATATCACTCTTTATTGTATTTCGAGAAGGTGCTTTAAATAATGGTTGGAGTATCGCTGAATATCGTTTAAAACCAACATGATTTACGATAGAGAGGGAATATTCATGCAATATTATGGCATGTGACAACTCTTTCCTAGCAAAATCTTAATAAAAATATAAGAATTCATTTTTAGACTCTCTTTATTAAAGTTGTTAGTTAAAACTTTTTGCCTCATGTCCATCACTTTTTTTCCTAGTACAACTCTTATAGTGGTCATGCAAATGCCTAGTTCCATTTTTTGAATCACCTCCAAAATGCTTATTACAATAAGGTGATGCTTATTATAATAATTACATATTATCTTTCACATCCCATTGACTTGTTGTTTCCTAAAGTGTTCCCACACAACACTAGGTTTTCTTCTAGTTCCTCTACAAGTATTAGACTCTTCTTCTAAATCAATAACATTTTGATTAGAGAGGGGAGACGATGAGTTGGTAGGTGAGTTGGTAGCTGAAGATGATTGTTGTGAGGCCTCGCTCTCAACTGGTACTTGAGAGTTAACATTTGACATTTTTACCTTTATAAAAATAACATGAAATGAATAAACAAAAGCAGCTAACAACTTAAATAATGATGCAGCAACAGAAGAACTGGTAATATTGCTAACAACTTAAATAATGGTGCTCCAAGATTTTTGTTAAATTTTAGTACATTTATTATCTTCTCAAAACCCAAAACCCAAAACAACCAAAACAATAAATTCAAATACTACAAGAATCAACCTTTAAAAAAGCAATTGACGCTCCATGGACATAAAGAGGAAAATCTATATTTTGATAATCACTACCATATCCACTCAATACAACATTTTTTTTTATTTAAAAATTTTAGTAAATTTGTCATCTTCTCAAAACCCAAAACAACAAGAATATATAGATCAATTTTTTTTACTCTATGGACTGCTCAAAATACATAGACCAGTACATTTTTTTTTGCTCCATGGACTGCTCAAAATACATAGATTAGTACTTTTTTTGCATAGGCACAATACATAGATCATGGACTACTCAAATGTACATAGATCGATACATAGATCATGAAGAGCTTAAAATACATAGATCAATACATAGATCATGGATTGCTCAAACTACCAGTACATTTTTTATTTTATTTTTAATTTTAGTAAATATATTATATTCTCTCAAAATACAAAGATCCAAGAGAGAAACAGAGAGAGAGAGAGAGAGAGAGAGAGAGAAGCAAATACCGTTAGGAGAAGGGAGAGTCGGTGAGAGAGAAGGGAGAAGCTGGTGAGAGAGAGGCGAGCTGTCGTAACCGTAAGAAAAAGGGAGAGTCGGTGCAAGAGAAGGAAGATGCCGATGAGGGAGAATGAAGACGCCGATGAGGGAAAAGGCAGACGCCGATGAGGAAGGAGCAAGCAACGGAGGCGACCAAACATAAAGGAGAGAAAGAGACAATGCGATATGAACCTGTGAACCTAAATCCCTCAAATGAGTCAATAAGCCCTAGAGAAACACACACACACACAAAAACATATATATATATAGAGGGGTATAATAATAATTTCAATTCGAGGCAAAACGGGGACGGGAACGAGCCAGGGCCAGGGACAGGGCGGAGGCACCTATCACTGTTCTTGACCCGAAAATTGTCGGGGATTCATTTTCGAATACCATCCCCGGCCCATTAGGGGTATTTTCCAGGAATAACCCATTCTAATCGGGGTCGGGGAGTCGAGTCCCCGTCGAGTCGAGTTCAAATTGCCATCCCTAAGAATGATGTGGCATTACGGGGTAAGCCATAGAAAGAAGCAACACAGATATAGAAGAATCTGTGGTTTTGTTGCATTCATGAATTTAGGGGTGTAAAAATGGCTCGAGACCCATCCGCAACCTGAGGTGGGCCTAGCCCGTTTCGGCTCGGGCTTGAGCCCAGCTCAAGACCTTGCGTCTGGGCTTGGGCCTTCCATTTAAAGTCCGACCCAGCTCGTTGGCCCGGTTTGGCCCAAAATTTTTTTGGCCCTGTTTGGGCCGGTTCAGCTCAGCCCACCCGGGCTTTCTTCTATCAACGGTCAAATTTTAAAAAATAAAAAAATAAAAAAATAAAAGGCAAGTTGCAACGGTTAAATAATTAAAAAAAAATTAAAAAAAATAAAATAAAAGCTTGATCTTGCAACAACGGTAAAAAAAAAAAAGAAAAGGGCCAATCATTTCCTTGCAGGGAGGCAGAGCTGATGCCTGCCCCTTGCTAGTGCCGCCTTACCCCCCTTGTCTAGTCATGCAACATCACTCACATCATTGCAATTTGCAATGAATGAAAAAAAAAAAAATTAAATGTCTGCACCTCTGCAGACTATAATAATAATAATAATAATAATAATAATTTAACGATCATATTACTGTTTAACACAACAGTCATTTTTTTTAATAATAAATTTACTTCAATCTTCCAAACTTATATAAATATCTCCCTTCTCCTTTTTCAAAAAT